AAGTCCATAAGGTATAGTGAAACCAAAGTGTAAGAAAACTGTATGAAAACTGATTGATGAAATACTGTATAACTGGGCTTTGCTTATGGCCATTATATAATCATCACTCAAACGGCCTGTAGGCCGAAGTACCAAACTGTATGGGCGCAGATCTGCTATCCTATGTCGCGACAATAGCTATATGCTTAAGTGGTTTCTAATCTAACCTCAATGGATGCATTTATTGATATGTCAATATATTTAAAACAAAGCTAGTAACTGCGTTTAATTTGCATGCTTGTGTCATTGTTATATTTCACATGGCTTGTGTCATAAAATTAACTGCTTCATAATTCAAAACTTACTGCTTACCTGTCGCTGATAGCCTCAGCCAAGTGGCAACTTGTGATCAATGTTAGTTCACACCTTTGCATGCTGCATTTTGTTATACATATTGTTATGGTATGTCTTTTTGCTTGTAAAATGATTGAAGGCATTACAAGTTGAGCCAAGGAATACAATTGCATAGATTTCATAACTTCACTAAACACGCATGAGGTGTTTACCTCATTTCACATCATTTGCATGCTTGCATGTTGGTTTGATACATGTCTCATGGTGTCTTTTTGTTTTTTAAAATGATTTGGAGCATACACGTTAGCAGGGAATACATTGCATAGAAATTGAAGTTCCAAAAGAGCATCGAACACATTCGTGAGCGCCGCCATGCAAAGTCGCGAGCACGGCCGAGAAGCACACAAGAGGGTCAGAGAGTTTACAGGCCAAATTCGCGACGCGCGCAATGAAATTCGCGGGGTGCCGAGAAGGTGCAAAATGAGGAGTCAGAGAGTTCACAGGCCAAATTCGGCGGAGCTCGACATGAAAATCGCGAGGCTCGCGTCGGTTTTTCCAGCCTACGCAGTCTGTACTATTTTAGGTCATATCTCTCAATTTACCAACTTCCATTTGGGTGATTCAAAAACCAGGAAAGCTAACACATAGAGGAACAAATAATCTTCTTATGACACTTCCCTAATATCCATCATTAATAGGTCAATCAAGGTGAATTTACTAGTTTACTTTTCCAGCAAAACCTGTATTCAGCATGAACTCAATATCTACTCATTTATTCATTTTCAATCTCATGCTTCTTCACCATTTTATCAGTCATCTTACTCAAACATTCAAGCAACATATCTTCTCATTATCAACACAACACCACAAATTCTCATGCAAGGAAATGATTAAACTTAAAAGAGATAGCACACCTTCACTCCAAAAAGCTTAAGCTTCTTCTTTTTAGCTCCTTTTTTTTCTACCTTTAGAGCTCACCTTCTCCTATACATAAGAAACTCTGTATTGGAATTACTCTAAAAATTCACCAAATGATTTCAGTATGAAAATTCAAGAAGGGTTTACTTACTTGGATAAACAGAATTGAAATTAATGCTTAACTCCCATTAAAATTCTTCACTACCATTAAAAGTGATGGAGAAAGGAAGGTGGGAAGGAGGAAAGTAGAGGAAGAAGATGAAGATAAGGATGAAGAACATGGAAAATGAAATGGACACTCCACGGGTACATCTCAAAATATCATTGATTTTATGCTGGGAAAAATACAAATGGTACCTCAAGTGTCAAAAATGGTATACAACTCAAAGACCTCAACTGTTTTTATATTTTTCAGTTGCAGGCAGTCCTATCCTTACTTTGATCTTTTGTTTCCTTTCAAGTAAGTCACTTCTTTTCCTGATTTCAATTACCCTCCCATTCTACCCCACTCTTGGACTCTAATAGCTCGACCGGGTTTTGGATCAGCCGACTCGACTCTAAGCAACGACTCGATTCAATAGAAAAATGGGACGTTAGCACCTAGTGAGTACAAAAGCTCGATTGGTCGTCAAGGCCTTTACTCAAAAGAAAGGTTATTGACTTTTGATGAGATTTTTTCCCAGATTGTGGAAAATGGTCTATTGAGTTTGTGGCTAGGTCTAGTAGCCAGTTTGAATCTTGGTAGGAGCAGCTTTGATGTAACGAACCGCATTCTTGCATGGGATCTAGAAGAAGAATCTACTATGGAACAACAGAAGGATTCAAAGGTCCAAGGAAAAAGAGGACATGGCTTGTCGCTCTGAAGAAGAGCTTGTTACGAGTTGAACAGCGCCGCGACAATGGTATAAAAGGTTTTGTTCTTTCATGGGTGAAATCAAAGGATACAAAAGGACAGATGCAGATTCTTGGTTATGTCTAGAAATTCCCTGATGGTAAATTTTATCATCCTTTCTCTTATATGTTGATTTGGATATGCTAATCGTTGGACCAGATGCACACTGATTAGCAGGTTTAAAAAAGTGATTTGTCAAAGCATTTGACATGAAGGATTAGGATCGGCCAAGGTGAATTCTCGGTATGGAATTATTGCGAGACAGAAAGTCCTGCAGGTAATTGGTATTGCAGGAAAAATTATATTGAACGAGTTCTAGGAGAGGTTCAATATGAAGAATGCTTAAACCAAGTTGCCACTCCGCCTTGCGCTCACTTCCAAGTTGAGTAAGAAATCCATATCCATCAACAGAGAAAGAAAAAGGAAATATGTCAAATGTTTCATATCTTCATCGGTCGGAAGTTTATTGATGTTACGCAATGGTATGTGTACGAGACCAGATTATCGCTCATGCAGTTTGGGTTGTGGAGCCGTTTTCTGTCAAATCCCCAGAAGAACATTGGGAAGTAGTGAAGTGGATCTTTCAGATACCTGAGGGAACTTCCAAAGTTATGTTTAACTTTTTGGAGGTTGAAAAGTCTTGCACTTGTTGGTGTATTAAGATAGCAGATATGGCGTGGATCTTGATGAAAGAAAATCTCTACATCAGGATACCTATTTACATTTCTCAAAGGGGAGCTAATTTCAGGCAGTAAGCATTACAGAATGTGTTTCGTTATCAAGACTGAAGCAGAGTACTTTGCAGCAACGGAAGCAGGAAGGAAATGCTTTGGTGTAAAGCGATTTCTTTCAGAATGGGTGAAGCAGGAAGATATTAAATTTAGTTTATTGTGATAGTCAAAGTGCCGTTAGGACTTGAGGCAAAAATACTATGTATCCATGCAACGAACGAACACATTGACTCGTAAGATATCATTGGCTTTAGACTATGCCATTGTAAGAGAAGCAGTTCAGTGGCAAAAGATCCCACAGATAGAAATGCACTGCAGAATATTGACACCAAAGGTCCGTTCCAAAGGAGAAGTTCGAACTGTGGTCAAAACAGCATTGAATGGAGAGTCCCACCATGTAGTTCAGAGGGGGAGAATTGTTGTGGGATTCCTCCAACATGTGGAACCCACACAAGTTTGAACAAAAAAAAGGAAAGAAGAGATTCAAACGTGTGGGACCCACACACGTTTGAATGAAGAAAAAAAGAAAAAAGGGGCACGTTTATTTTGTTATTCAAAGGACGGTGTGAAAGAAAGAAAAAAAAGAAAAAAAAGTGGATGCGTGATTAACGCGTCCATTCGGTGGATGCGTTAATAATGCATCCCCTTCTCCTATAAATAGGAGAAGGTTTCCTCAAACCAAAATGTACAAAAACAAATAGAATAGAAATTTACAAAAAGTGTATGAAATTTTAGGAAATGGTTCCTAAAATTGGGATAGAGAGAAAAATAATGAGGATTGTAATTTTGGGGTGTTTTTGAAAACACTTAGAGTGTCACTATTTTGTAATCTCTTTTGTACCTACTATTTTTAGTAGAAGAATTATTTTATTCGGAGTTTTTGTCCGTGGACGTAGCCCATAACAGTTGAAGGGTGAACCACGTAAATCTCGGTCTGTTCTATTTTTATTCTGGCATTTACGGAATTATTTTAATTTTTTACCGTGGTTATTATTTCTGGTGGATTCGAATGTCAATATATCCCAATACGAAATTATTGGAAGTATTTATTTAATTTTTACCGTGGTTATTATTTCTGGTGGATTCGATCGTCAATATCCAATACGAAATTATTGGAAGTATATGTGGTAACAGTAATTTTAATTTACTTTTACTACCGGTATTTTTCGCGGGCCCACTCGGATAAGTTATAATCCCAACAAAGTATTGAAATGAAGAGATTGATAGCTAAATTTAAGGTCTAAAAATCTGGACAAATATCATGAGGAAAATCCTGTGATCTTGTCCAATCTAGGAAATACAACAATAAAGTACCATCTAAATAGAGTGTTAATGAAGTTGGATTTTAATTACCATGTGGCATCTGGCATATTATTCTCAGGAAACAGTTATTTTACCATCTCTTTTGTTTGATTAATTAAGCACGCCATGATAAAAATTACTTGCTTATGTGAAAAAAACTATGCAATGAAACAGCTGTTTATCCAATTTTTGAAATGGTTAATTTACTTTGCTTCTCATTGAATTCACAGATGCGAAGCACAATTTATTCTAGACATAGTTACAGATGTTGGACAAAAATTGAATCGCATAATATTGCATGTGCCTGTTTATTTAGTTGGTGCAGACTTTCGTGTAAAACAAATCAATGAGTGGTTACAAGACAGAGCAGAGGATGTTGATATTGCAATGATCTATGGAATTCGTGGGGTTGGGAAGACAATCATTGCCAAGATTGTTTTTAACTTGAACTACAATAGATTTGATAGTTGTAGTTTTATTAAAGATGTGAGGGAGACTTCAAAGCAACCCACTGGCTTGGTTAAATTGCAAAAGCAACTTCTTTCAAATATCCTAAAGAAAAAAGCAAACAAGATTCACAATGTTGATGAAGGAATTATCAAGATAAAAATGCTTTATGGCAAAAAGAGTTCTTGTTATTCTTGATGATGTGGATCACATAGACCAATTCAATGCAATTATTGGATTGCAGGATTGGCTCTACCAGGGAAGCAAAATCATCATAACAATTAGAAATAAACATTTATTCAGGTCCCATCAAGCTTTGGTAAAGTTTGAAGTTAAGGCTCTCAACGACAACGATTCACTTCAGCTCTTTAGCTGGCATGCCTTTGATGAATCATATCCTTCTGAAAGATTACATAGAGGACTCTAAGAGCGCAGTGCATCATTGTGGTGGGATTCCATTAGCTCTCGAAGTCTTGGGCTCTTCTCTGTCTTGCCATTCTATAGATTTCTGGAGAAGAGCACTATTAGAACCGCAAGCCATTGGTGATGGTAAAATTCAAAGGATTCTTAGAATAAGCTATGATTCTTTGCAAGACGAACGGCACAAAAGTTTATTTCTTGATATAGCATGTTTCTCCATTGGAACGGACAAATATTACCTAAAAAAAATAATAGAAGGCTGTGATTTTTATAGAATAACTGGAATTCAGAAACTCATTGATAAATGTCTAATAACTATTGATAAAGATGAAGAAGTGATGATGCATCAATTGCTTAGGGACATGGGAAGAGAAACTGTCCGCCAAGAATCACCTGAAGATCCTGGAAAACTTAGTAGACTTTGGCGTCATAAGGATGCATTATCTGTACTAAGGAAAAATACGGTGAGTGAAAATACATGGTGTCACATGTAATCCTTGTGCTTATATCTAGACAGCTCTATTCACTTTGCTTTGAGACTTGCCCTTTTGTTTATTTTTGGCTTTTTCATCCTTTCCATTCTAAAGCAGGCAACAGAATCTATCAGACGCTTTATCTTTGCCAAACAAGAAAACACAACCTGTTCAAGTAAAGTCGACTTGAAAACTGAGACTTTCGTAAAAATGAGCAATGTAAGACTACTTCATCTTAATAATGTAAAGCTGAATGGAGCTTATGAAGCTTCCCAAAAAGTTTAGTGTGGTTATGCTGGCGAGGATTCCCTTTGAACTCCATACCGAATATCTGTTGCCTGCAAGACTTGATTATTCTCTATATGAGCAATAGAAATCTTAAACAAGTTTTCAGGGAAACCGGGTATGATATCTCTCTCTTTCTCTCTCTCTTACACACACACACACACACACAAGTTATTATTCCATTAACTAATTTCATTTGCTTTACAAATAGATTCTTGCAGAGTTGAAAATCCTTGATCTCAGTCATTCCCATCGTCTTATTAGTACCTCTGATCTGTCAGGACTGCTTAATCTCGAGAGGATTATACTTAACGATTGCATAAACTTGATTAAGTTCATGAATCCATTGGAAACCTAGAATGACTAGTCTTCTTGAACCTGAAAGACTGTAAAAGTCTCAAAAAACTTCCTCAGGAAATTGGTTTGTTGAAATCACTAGACGAACTTATTTTGTCAGGGTGCTCCAACCTTGATGAGCTGCCTGAAGAGTTGCAGAAGTTGGAATTTTAAGGTTCTAAAAATGGATGACAGTGCCACAAATCAATCGCAATTGAGGGAATCAAGTTGTTGGTCTTGTATAGCACCACAAAAAGTCAACTATCCATTATGTCACTGGCTCTTTTGCCAAGTTCATTGGTGAAGTTAAGCCTTTCAAATAGTAATATAACAAATGATGTTATTCCTGAAGACCTTAGCTACCTTCCTTCCTTGGAATATCTAGATCCAAGTGGAAACCCTATTCATAGCCTAACAAAAAGTTTGAGAAGCCTTTCAAAGCTTGAATCTCTTTTGGTAAACCATTGCAAAAGCCTCCGATCATTACCAGAGTTTTCAACAATCTTAAAAGATTTATGGGCATTATCATGTATGTAACTGGAAAGAATTAGATATATACCAGACAGCATGAAAGGCATTGCTACAATGGATTCTTATTTTTTATCTGACTTTAGATGGCTCAGATCATTTCTTGTGTCTGTAATAAGATCAAAGAAATTGAGCCTAGATGATATAACATGGGCACTTGCTGCAGATTGTCCCAATAAAGTTAGATCGCACAGATTAAACGCTAACGGTTGTGAAAAATTGGTCCAGGTTCAAGGCTACTTCAACTTAGAACTGATAAGAGATGTTGACAGTGAAATAAAAAATAATATGCACTTATTCAATGTGGAATCTGTGAAAGGCATTGAAGTGGAAATGGTCAATTCTTTGACTCAAACATACAATATAACACCTCCCCAGGTCCTATATCTTCTCCTCTCTAGCATCACTTATCAGCTGTCTTTATGATAAATCCATGCCTTGTTCTTTTTATTATTGATTAAATGGCACAGGTATTACATGAGCGCGGCACATTTAGTGTTTTTCTTCCAGGAAGTGAGATTCCAAACTTGTATGGTCATCAGAATGAAGACTCGTCAGTATCCTTTGATGTGCCTCAACTCCCTGCGGGTTAAAAGATTCGTGGCTTGAATTTATGTGTTGTACTACATGTTGTCGATAAAAAAAATGTGTTATATCGACCTGAGGCAGCAATAAGGGACAGCACAAAGAATTTAAAGTGGAGTTACACTCCAGTAGTATACGGTGCACCAAGAATAGGTGAGGATATGTTATGGTTAAGCCATTGGAAGTTTGGTGATCAGCTGAAAAGTGGGGATAAATTGAATATTTCAATGGCTGTGACACATCCTCTTCAGGTAAAAAAGTATGGACTATATCCTGTATATGATCAAGAAAAGCAGGACACTGTATTAAACAATGAAGAAACAGTTCAAGATGACTTTTCTGCACATGACAATATTATCAGGCACCGTATTTTCTAATACTCTCCGAAAAAATTCAGGTGATATTAATCATTATTTTTATTTCTACAGAAAAATATTTTTGAAAAATTTAAATGTATCTAAAAATACATTCACTATCATGATAGTTGTTTCATATTCTCATGTGTGTTCTCTTAAAATTTTCTCCTTCAGGTTACTTGACCGTGATATGGCTGAAGGTCAAGCCAACCTTTTTGCGCTGGCACTGTTGAAAGGTTGATTACTTGCACTGGCACTAAGATTTCATAGTAATTTTCATGAGTTAAAGGGAGGTTTTCTCAGTGGATCTATTGCTTTTTTGGATCTATAGGGAGAGAAAAAGAAATTCCTTGCAACTGTTGTGGATGAAGTTCTTTCCCCAACTGCTTCATTATTCCTTCTCCTGCTAGCCGCAGTTGTAAACTCTATGATGTTTCAGTTTCACTATGAATACATAAATTCATTGATTTTTTGCTCCGCCCTTTACTTGCATTATCTGTAACTTGACTATTCTCCAAGATCCTTCAATTTCCTCTTCTTATTCTCCACATTCTCAAGGTTATATTGTGCAATATCTCCAGACTTTCCATATTCCTTACCACAGCTTATAATAGTAAAATACAAAATCCAATCAACAATTAAATGGGATTATAACTATAATTCTGAAACTCTTCCATCAATTTGTTTTCTTTTTGAAATAACTTTACACTCATTAAAAAAAAATGCAGGTTTACAAAGAACAGAAACAAATCACTACTCAAATGATCAAGCGGAACCGACTGCTACCAGCATAATACAACATCCACCCACTGCACTCCAACTTTCTCCATCTTCGATAATATTAACAAGTCTCCATTACATGCTGCAATTGGCTAGTCAGTCTAAGCCCCATCAACCATTCTCACTGCTGTGGTGTTTGAAAAGTCAGTATGTCGTATCAACGTATTCAATCTGTTTTCTTTTTCTGTAACTGAACAAATACTTGAATCTACTAGGAAAAAGAATAAATCTGAATTATTTCCCTCAAAAAAAGACTAAGATACAAAAAAAAAAAAAATCTCCGAATTATGCCTCTTCTCCCCAAAATTTCCCATTCTGCAAGCGATTACCAATTTCAGAATAGATGTGGTCATTCTCACGTCCATCTCTAGTCATTAGGGTCCCATTCATCATCCAGATCCATAGGTGAAGTAAAGCTACTCTTACCGCCAGTGTTATCAGATTCTTGTGGAATCACATCATTCTCATAATCAGGCTCATTATCATCATTTTTAACCCCTTCTGCGCCCGCTGACTCCAATGGACTAGCTTCCTGTCCATGTTGCATCCATTCTGGGCATTCATCCTCGCCTCCATATAGATACCGACCATCCTTACCCTCCAGTGGAGCTAGAAACTCAGTAGATGAAATTCTACATGAGCATTCAGGGAGGGGATGTGATAGAAACGAGTTTGGTTTCGACAGAAGGGATTGCCTGATTAGGCCATCTTCTCCCAAGCTTTTATTTAGATGTTCCCTCACAGAAAGTGTCCAATTATGTCGTGGATGATACATACTGTCACGGATAATGTTAAAAAAATTTTCAACAATTCTCCTGTTACAAGAACCAACAAGGCATCAGAAAGAATTACAAAGACAATTATAATAACTAAGATTGATTGTTAAAAATCAATTACGAGATTAATCAAAATACTGAGATAGCAACATCAGAAAAAATGAATTTCCATTAAGAACATCAATGAAAGTTGAGAAGACAGAAGCTTTTTGTAATTAAATATGCATTAATATGTAAATACACACAAGAAATTAAGGCTAAAACTGAAATGCAGTGTCCATATATAAATATCTATAGATATCCCAAGCCATCTATATTCTATACTGCATTCTCTGTGAGCCTTTTCTTCTTCCTTAGCCACATACATGTAAATGTTGATGCATTACCACACTAAAGAGAGTATTTAGCAAACATGAGACAGATTTTGTATATCACTAATAAATAAAACAAATATAAATTTGCACCAAAAGAGACTCCATTCGAACAAATGCAAACAGATGGGAGACTTTAAGAAACTTGGAGAATCCATTGGTCAATTCATGGAAATCAACATGGCTACTGGTGATTTATGATCCTCCCACTCCACCATCCTTTCTCCCATCGAATAATTAGGTGCAATATGGGGTGATTATTTATTTGTGTGTGAGAAAGAGAGAGTGAGAGAGAGAGATCTTAAACAGACTACAGTAATTATGGTAATTTATGTATTAATGTATGCTAGCACTGGCAATTTCCATTAACATCCTTTTAATCAAATTCAAAATTCATGATAGCATTTTTCCAGATCGATTTTACCTGTCTGGTCGATATGTTCTAGAAGCAGCACTTTCATATAGTCGCTGTCCCATGACCAAGCTTGAGAAATCTGGCCACCCACTCCCATCATTATTAAAACCAGGAAAGAATGCATCTGCTTCTACAGAGACGATGTAATCAAGAGCATCCCAGATTAACCTGTGTGCTTGCATCCTCAAATCCATTGGTGAAGGGTCTGGTTCAGCATCAGACTGAGTGATCCAACCATACCAGCCTTCTTTCTCGTGTCGATATATGGGTCTGTCCGGAGGTGGAGGAAAGGGCCGAGGCCGAGGACCTGCCTTCTTCCACTCTTCTTTAAGTTGTTCATCACTTTTTGGAGGAGGAAATTGAAATGAATGTTCAGGAAGAAGTGCCTCAGGACCAAGCAATTTAAACAACTCTTCCTTGCTGCACACTGATGTGCGATCTATAGCATTAGCAAACATGGCACGAAGAGGGATCAGAACACGTTGACCACCAAAAGTTTCAGAACCTGCCACATATATTGTTGTTTTGGGAGGATAGCCCATTGCTCGGAGAAGAAGTCCAACCTGCAGAATATTTGAAAGACAACAGTGTTAAAATGGACTTCCATGAGCATCTTCACAGAATTGCTCCCAAATTTTACTGTTAGACCTTGCCAAAAATAGCTTTTTGCTGTTGCTTCACAGACAACACCGTTAGTTATTATTATTACTTTCTAAATCTCACACCTTCCAATCACTGCTGCAAAATACTAAAAATTCAACTTGCATGCATTTTAGTAAGGAACGAAATACAAATTCTTGGAAGTACCAGCAGTTTCAAGATAATCAAATACAAATCTAAACAAAAAGTTAGCTGGATCTCATAGTTTAAACTCGATCATACCTCTTCTGGCATGAGAGGGCATGACCCATTTTCTCTACGTGAATGCGAATCTACACTCAGCTCTTCATTAAGAATCCCTCGCTTGATCATCTGGTCCCTTCGATATTGTATGAGTTCAGTGTGAACATCCTAGAAGAATTAACAATTTAAATAAAAGTAAGGAAATTTTGAGAACAGTGGTCAAATTGGTTTTCTTTTTGTAATTTTTACTTTTGTATGTAGAAATCCCCACCACATTGTCCAGTTTAGAAGCAAAACAAATAAACATATAAAAAGTATAAAAACCTTCACAAATCAATGGTGCAAAATGGCCAGTCAAAATAGTTGTTGACAAAGATAACAGGAGAAAAGGCTTAAACAACTAGCCTGGAAAAGTTCTGCACAACCATGATAGGCCAATATGTCCCTCACCAAACCAGGATGAAATGCAAGGAAAGGCTGACCCCATGCTCTTAACCTGGAAGATGAGTAATTAAAAAAGCACAATCAATAACAGCAAGCAAACACTTGAAATCCCAACTTAACCGAGACAAATGGAATTTGTCCCCTTTCTGTTGACACATTAAATGAAGTTCATAGAAAGTTAAATTTGCAAGCCAAGTCCCCTTAATTTTGACATGTAACATTTCATTTAGTTTTTCCGAAATTGCTTCTCCATACTTCACTTTTTCACTTCTTCATTAAGAATCTGGCAGAAAAACAAGCAGAGAAAATATACCTCTCAACAATCTTATGACCAAGCACTTGAATTTCCAAGCGAAATTGAAGAGCATGAAAAGCAACTCTGCATCTAAGCCTCTGAAACTCATACATGCTAGGTGGAAGGATTGACTGAAGAAAATAACAAGCCATTAAGGATATTATAGAATATTTCTAAAATAATTAGTCAAATGACATGCATGCTCAAACTTCCATGCCTCAAATTGGCCAATCAAAACATTATGCTGTTGCATCTGTAAACATTTGAACTTATAGAAGAAGATGTCCTCAGTAGCAAGGATAAATAGAGACAACATGATTGGTACACCACATAGCAATGAGATTCATAGAGCTCAAAAGAGGAGGCAACCATCAAATGGAGAAGAAATAACAAGTGTGGCCAATAAACCCAACATCACCATCAAGAATGCAGGAAATACCATTTCATCCGTTTGAAATGGTCTAGTGCATACCCCAGTAATATCATGTCAAAACCTGATTTCAAAATTTGAATTAAAATATTCATGTCGCTATATTCATGTAATATAGCAAAGTATATATTATTTTAACAAATTCTAGGATTTCAGCTACAGGAGAAGTACAAATGCACTTGATTGCAAAGTCCCCCCCTCTCTCCCCTTTCAGAAACTAGCAAATGCACTCAACTCGAAAATCTCAAGAAAATTCACTCAAAATACCAGTGGCTTTTTAAAGTAAGAAATCATTGTATGATATACATGAGAGACAACCACCTGCAAGCATCCTCCATCAGCAACCACTAGTCCAAAATGGTCTAGTGCATACCCCAGTAGTATCATGTCAAAACCTGATTTCAAATTTTGAATTAAAATATTCATGTCGCTATATTCATGTAATATAGCAAAGTATATATTATTTTAACAAATTCTAGGATTCCAGCTACAGGAGAAGTACAAATGCACTTGATTGCAAAGTCCCCCCCTCTCTCCCCTTTCAGAAACTAGCAAATGCACTCAACTCGAAAATCTCAAGAAAATTCACTCAAAATACCAGTGGCTTTTTAAAGTAAGAAATCATTGTATGATATACATGAGAGATAACCACCTGCAAGCATCCTCCATCAGCAACCACTAGTCCAATAACCTTGGCTTTCCTTAACTTGGGCAAAATTTCTTTAATATAAAAATTTGGAGAAGCAGAAGCTTTGGGCTTAAATGTTGGGAACTCATTCCTTTTCCTGGCTGCCTTCAAATTCTCCGGCAGGCTCTTCACAATGATTACATCCTTTTTAAGTGATGCAATGAACTGCTCCTCATCATAGAGATAAGAAAAACTCTTGAATTCATTACTGAAATTTTCAGAGCAAAAGGATAAAGAAGAAACAAAATGTATAAGCTTTAGTAATGCCACCATAGGAATTGACAAAAAAGCATTACTTAGGTGCCAACAAGATACCTAATGCCTTTTGACCGAAGACTTTCTTGAATTTCTGGAATGACAAGAGTAGCATTTAGAAGTCTGGATATGGTGACAAGATCACAGATCTAGAAAATTATCAAAAACGTTATGAACTTCCATTAGAAATAGTAGTTAAAGTGAGATTTATGCATTAAAAAATGAATCATACCGAAGATCTTATCTTCTCAAATCCACCAAATATTTTCGCATAAATATAACCATTGTTCTTTTCATTGGGAACTGCAAAAAATAAACAAGGAAAAAAATTACAAACTTACAGATGAAATTAATAAGATCCTCCAAATAATAATAATAATAATAATAATAAAAGACCAGCCAAAAAAAAAAAAAAAGTTCAAATAAAAGTAATATTGGAGAAATTGAAACCTTGTGGAAGTATTTTATTGTCACTCCAATATCCCAGGCATTTCAAACTAAAACTATCATCTATAAGACATTATGTTCATTCCTTGCCGCCAAAAGCTTAAACAATTAAGTCATGTATTCAAGAACATAATTTAAAGCACAATTCTATAACCTGAATACAAATCTTATATCTACAAGGCATCATGGATCCAGTTGGATATCTAGTAATTTCAAACTATTGAATATTAGCAATTTGGAACCATAGTGACTTCATTTTGAATGACTATCTGTTCAAGTGGACCCCTATATTATTTGCATAAGGATACACATAAAGTTAATAATCAAAGTTAAAGAATAGTTTCAATTGCTAGCTCATGTAATCAGAATAACCACAATTCAAGCACAAGGATAACAAAATTAACAAATAACCATTAACAGCAACAAGAAAGTTATCAAATAATTGCAGATATGTAAGCATGTTAAACTATTACCTAATTCCATTACGGTCTACTTAGCAAAGTCTACAAGAAGCATTTGAGAACTAGAAGCCATCAGAGTCGCATAATATTTGACAATAAAAATATAACATCATGAATGGATAAAAATATTGATTAGACCGCCAAAAAATGTACGAAACAGTAACCAACCAAGAACAACGCCACTCAGATGATAAATTTACAAACCTATCTACAGTAAACAAAACAATTGGACACAATTATTCATGGGTCACTTATAATGGAATCCATTAAATTTTCTATGATGATGAATTATCTAGTGTCCATCACACAATATGTTGAATGCACTCCCATCTTTGACTAAAGCAATTCAACAAATCCCCTGAAGCAAGCAAATAGCAATAGGAGACTTGCAAAAGACAAAAAAGAAAGCTCAGGCAGTATCAATTACCAGGATAGTTGCTTCTTGGATTGGAATAAGGCTGCAATGGCCGTAAAGGCTTCACAACCCCCCATAACCTCTTATTACTAATATATCTAACACTCTGCAACATCAACAAAAACACAATAAAAAGATGAGAAAAATAAAGTAAATTTATAAACGTTTAGAAACAAAACAAGCAATTAAATCAATTAGCAAAAACTGACCTGTGTCTCTGCTAAAGGAGGGAAATTGATAACAGAGTCCTTCTTTGGAGCATAAGGAACCCAATTATAACCCGAAAACTTGGTTATGGAGAGGTGAATGACAAGAGATCCCGTCGATAGTATCAATACTAACAAAGCTATCCATTTTATCTTGGATTTGAATACCATCTTCATTCATACCAAACAATTGAATTTCAAAACGCTCAAAAATCCCAAGATTAAATCCTACATTCTGAATCCAAAACCCAAAAATAAAATCAAAATCTTCCAAATATATAGATGAATGTATATATATGCATGCAATTTGATACAACGCTAATGCACATTACAGACTAAATGGCATCAAAGATCATTAAACTTTGCTTGTTTCTAATTTAATCACTAAAGATTGATTTGATGCAAAATAAATTACCATTTTGAATTTTCCAGCAACAAGCTTACTGGAACAGTGATGTGGCTACCCAGATGGGCATTTTCAATCCTAGTCAGAATATGTGAGGGCCACACACATAAAAGAACCTCAGTTTCTCTATCCTAGTTGGTGGCACATCAGCTAAGACCCACCATTTTTCTCTCTCTTAACTCCTCTCACTCTCATTCATACTCTCACTTTTCTTTTTCCTCTATAATCTAAAGCCACTAGAATCACTAAAATTGAAACCCACTTTGAAATAATAAAGGGATTGTTATGATGTGATTGTAGCTATGGAATGTTCATATATACGATAAAGCTAGAGAGAATTTGTGGGCTGGAGAGAAATTGAAACCTACTTTTTCTTTTTTTGACAAACACTTAGCAATCCATTTGAGAATATCAAGCATTATGCATTATAGCTAACTGCATCCTCTAACCTGATAAGAAAAGACTAATTCCCATTGTCACACAATATTTCTAACTAAAATATTTTCTCATTAACACCCACAATCCCCAGAATTCAAATGAATAAAACTCAATTACATTGTTTTAAACAGTCATGTGAATTCAATTTTTCAATTATATTTAAATTAACAGAAAAACAAATCAAAGTCAAAATCAAGCCATAGAATAACACAAATAAAATGAAAAGTTTCACTTTTTACATAATAAAATCTTACTCTCTGCCTTTCTGTTTCAAAATCCAAAACTGCTCAGTTAGCAAAATCGCACGACACTCCTCTGACTTCTGGAGGAACCCAGAAGCAGCCATGGATTTGACCCCACAGTGGAAATTGTGGACGGTTCCTCTTCTAGAAGCATCCACCAATCCCAGAAACAGAAATGGAGTTAACCACGAGTTTCGTTGATCAAAATTGAAATGGTTTCGTAAAGAGGAAAGGAGGGATTGTTAAAGAAAGTGGGTTTTTCAGTGGCAGTAATGGTGAAGGAAGAGGCGATTATTGGTACATTGTTGTGGACGGTGGTTGAAGATGCAGGACAAAGAAGAAGAGTCGCGATCTCAGAATTGCAGAGGAAGAGAAAGGAGCAAGGTATTACTGAGTGGTTTTAGAATTAAGCCAAGGGTTCACTCGTCTTTTCGACCTTGATATGCGTGTGCAACTCACGTGCATAAAACCATACAGGAAACCCCCTCAACTTATGGTTAAAGGTGTTGCATGAATAAATTCAAAGTGTACTTTTAAACCAATATGCATTTCCTAACTTTTATTTTCAACCATTAAACATTTTATTTCATCTATTGAACATTTAGACTATAAAATTAGATTCATTAAATATTTATTAGATAGTTAAAAATGTAAAATTATTATTCTAAAAATTATATTAACCACACATCAAATAGATATTTCACATATAAAAACTAGAATCGTTAAAAATCAAGTCATGTTTAATAACAACTTTCTATATCATTATTTACAGTGTTCAGTAACATAGCGTTTTATAAAATTTTTTATAATGTTCGATAACACAGCATTTGAACTAAAGTAGCTTTTATAAAAAGTTATCCCTGTAATATTTAGTTTTTAGAGTTTTACAAAAAATTAATCAAAACAAAGGTATAAAATTATTAAAAAAAATGAAATTTTGAATGCCATAAAATTTGTTTTGCAAAGGTTGAGGGTATCACAATCAAAGGATTGCAAACCACACAAATATCAAACCAACATCAAAAGATTAAAAAAGAGAGAGACAAATTGGATGGAGATCTAGATGAGGAAATTATTCTTCATTCTAAAGCATAGTAACTTGAGTTAAAGTTAACCATGATTAATTGTGGGGCCCATATTACATTTATTTTTATTTTAAACTCTTAACCCTAATTGTATATTGTGTATAAACTCTCAATTTTTTTAAAATTTTAATTATGGTACAGTTGTCAAAAATAGTAGGCATGTGTTCCTATTGGTTCGTGTCTTAAGGTATTTTTATAGGATTAAATAGTTCAATGTTAAAATAGAAAAAGATATATAAAAAAATTATTTTTTTAATTATTTTTTCAATTACAATATCCAAAAGACTTTATTTTCATAAAATAATATCTTATAAAACTTAGAAAGAAATATTTAACAAATCCTAATTTTGAAAATTTAAATATATGTGTTTGATCTAAAAAGATTTTGTTGAAAATAAAAATTTTTAAAATTGCGTTGACTTTATCAATGATTTTGACCCATTACCTAATTTGTGCTAACAAACCCAAAATCCACTTCCCAGTTCCCTCTCGCCGGAAAACCACTGCCAACATTCCTCCCTTCCCTGTTTTTCTTTAACGTTAACGTCTTGAGTCTAACGAGAAGAAACTGAGTTTTTGCAGATTTTAATCTTTATGATAGAAATTAGAGAGAAACGAAACTTTCCCATCTCTCTTCTTCTTCATGCTTCCATGCATATTTTGTAAACAGAAGAGAAAAACAGAGTTTTCATGAGAGATAGTATTTGCTTTCAAATTTTTAAATTTCAAACTTTCTCATCTTTCTTTCTTCTACTTCTTGCTTTCATGTAAAATTTCGAAAATAAGAAAAGAACAAATCTTAGAGAGAAGTTTTCAAAATCAAAATCAGATTCTTAACTTTTGAAACTTATTTCCTAAGCTTAATTAACTATGGCATCTCTTTCTATTTACAGTAGGTTTATGTGATTTAGAACAGATATGAGTTTTTTAAGTCTCAAAACTCATGAGTTAAAGCTATGTGTAAAGATTTTTGTAAAGGTTTTGAAATTCTTTCCTTAAACTAGAGATTAAGTTTACAAATTCTTTGAAAAAAACTTATCTGTCTTGGTTAGTTCTAAGTGTTAGAATCATTCTATCCCTTGAAAACAGTTGACTATCTTGAATAAACATTAAATGAACATGATTTGAATTATTTTGAGTAGACCAATTGATTTTTATCAATTTATATAAAGAGTTCGAAGAGAAAAATCAAAAGATTCTAAATTTCTTTCGGTTCAAGAATAACTAGCTATGTTTTTTATTAGTATTGGTCAAAATGAACAACATCAATTTGCGAGAGATAGATTTCAACACACCATACAAACAACATTTAAATATTTTGTTTCTTTGCCAAATATATCATCATTCATCCATAATTTGGAAATACTCCTCTAGAGATATAATACAATAGGAGATATTATCAATTTTGTAATATACGATCTCTCCAAAACGCTTTTTTATTTATTAAGAAATAGATCTATGATTTTTTTTTTTTTATCAATTTTGTTACTTTTAATATTAGGATTGCATGGGAGCAATTGTTGGTACGTATGTTTCTGCGCATTTTTCAACTAATCAATAAATAACACACCGTGATAAAAAAAATTGAGCTAACTCAAAATATTATATGTGTTTATTTAATAGGAGATTCTCTTTTATCATGACTGGCCGTAAAGGAATAATTAACATGCAAAAATTTTCCTATAAATCATTACCAAGCGAGAAAATGAATTTTCTATGCTAATACAAGGTAAATATTATTTAATGGATTATGAATACATTAATATTTCTAGTTTTCTTTCATTGTATTGCGGAGAATATTATCACTTATGTAATTATAGAGATGGGCGAAATCCACAAGACCTAAATTGACACTCGTCAAATATAATTTTATTTATTATTTTGTGTTAGTTTTGAGTGTAAAAAATGCTATGAATATACAGAAAAAAAAAGTTCATTGAAAAAAAAAACAGTTTTTAAAAATTAAAAATTAAAAAACTTTTTGAAAAAACAAAATATAAAAAATGGTAATAAGCGACCCCAGTATTTCATCTAAAAAAGAATAATATGGCTAATAGGTAAAATATGGTATATGACTTTAATATTTTTTTTTTTTTTTTAAATTCATTGGAAGGCTAAATGGCGTGGGCTACAAAATAAAAAGGTAATCCTTTCATGATGTTACTAAATTAGTGAAAATTTTCATAGCCGATAAAACTTAATTCGAAAACTTTCAATATATATATATATATAGTAAGTACATTTTCTTTGCCACGAAAGATTTCAAAGAAGTGACATATGCAACACTTATAATTGTTTTTTCTATTTATTTGAAAACAAATTAAATTTATGATTATTTATTGATTGAATTATATTATGTTAAGTATAATTAATTAATATAATGTTGGGAATTAATAACAGATTAAGTAACGATTTATATAGCTTTTAATGATAGAAATAAATTACTTATTTTATAGATTTTTAATTATACAAACAATTATCGTTTTATATTAATTTTAAAATAAATTATTTGAAAGTGAATTGAATCATTTTTTAAATATAATTAATTAATTATAATGTTACGAAATTAATATCATGATAAAATGACGATTTATACACTTTAAAATATTTTTTTATTAATTTTAAAATAAATCAAATTAATGAATTTTACTTTCCTTTTGATTTTGTTTATTTATCTTTATAAATTTCCCTTCAATCCATACTCTTCCATGACTGTCTATCTACTAATTCTCATTCTTATAATCGAAAAATCACAACTACATTGTTTACTATACATGTATTTTTATGGCTTAATAGTCAAATAAATTTTGAACTTTGGACGTTTTAACCAATTCTTTTAATTAAAAAAAGTATACCATGTATTTGACTTTAATACTTTTTTAATAATAAAAAAAAAGTAGCATGTATTTCTTCCATTTGTTTTCTCTAGATTTTTCAGATAAAATCTTTAAAAAGACTAAAATACCCTGACACTTAAGAAGGATAAATAATTAATTCGTCCATGATGTTTGACCAAACTAACTAAATCATCCCTGCAGTTTAACAATATTAATTAATGATTTCGGAGATTTACCACGGTCAAACCATTTGGCCATTTTGTCCATTTTCTCCAGATTTTTCTATTAAAACCTTTAAAAAAACTTAAATGCCCTGACATTTAAGAAGAAAAAGACTACATTAACCTATGTTAGAATTTCCATTTGTTGTGGAGGGGAAACGAAGAGTCAGGGTATACATTGATTATTTGATATTCACCCAAAAAAAAAAATGATAAACATAATGTGACATTTTACTGTCTTCAGCCACCAATAAAAAGATGAAAAAGAAAAATACACATTGAGTTAATTTCAATAAAAATAATACACATTTAATTTCATGTATCAATATTTAAGAGAACAAGTTATTTTATACATTCCATAACAAACTACAACTTGTGAAATGAAAGTAGGACCATAGAAATATTAAAAATATTTTAGAAAAAAAAAATCACCGTTTTTGTAGAATTCTAGTTGTAAATTTAATAAGACTTAACTATCATTTCGTTATAAAATAAATAATCTAGGTTAGTTTAGTCTTTTTCTTCTTAAGTGTGGTTTTAATAGAAAAATGAGGAAAAAATAAATAGAATGACCAAATGGTTTGACGGAGGTATATCTCAGGAATCATTAATTAATATTGCTAAACTGCAAGGATGACTTAATTAGTTTGGTCAAATCTCAGGGACGAATTAATTATTTTTCATTTTTATGTGTCAAGGTATTTTAGTCTTTTTAAAGATTTTAACGGGAAAATCTAGAATAAATAGACGAAAGGATCAAGTGATTTAACGGAGATAAATCTCAGAGACCATTAATTAATATTGACAAACTGCAGGATAACTTAATTAGTTTGATCAAACACATAAATTAATTATTTTCCCTTATTATTATTATTATTATTATTATTATTATTATTAAAAAGAATATTTTAAACTTTAATTAATTTTAAAATCGCTTTTCAATCATCATCTGGCGATTAGAACAGAGGACGGTGTACTAGTACACATTTCTCTCCTTATGGTTTTGGGGTTTCTCTTTCACTTTTCGATCCTGCAATATCCCATGGCAGCAACGACAATCACTTAGCCCAGATCCTCAAAGGCTGAGTCGTATGTCGATAATAAGCGCAAACATCAGCCACGTTAACATCGTGGCTGCCCGATCCATGGCGGAAGCCGTTCACACTAGTCTCCAATAATAATAAACTCAACCAAAACGAAACTCAGCCAATAACAGTAGGTTCACAGTTGTTTATGTTACTT